GCACATTACATAGGCCAAATTGCATGAGAAGAAACTCATACAAACCAGTTCTTGAGGTATAAGCAGCTTTAGATCTGCTCTCATCATCCAGTTGGACTTGCCAATATCTGGATGCCAGTTATAAAGATTGAACCAGTGGACCCCTTTCAGTGCATTCAAACATTCATCTGTTTGCAATAATGCAAAGGATTCAATGTGAGTTACTGCATTCATCCGTTTAAATTCAAGGCAGAACCAGGGCATACCTTCCTTCTTTCTGATAATCCTTACTGGAGATGACCAAGTACTCTTTAAAGGCTATATGATTCCATCCCATAACACCCATTGTACTTCAGCTGTTTAATTAGATGTGTTATATTGTGTGAATGTTATTTGACCTAATTGACCATCTGGTCCCATAAATACATTGGCATATTCTGCCAACAAGTCACTGTGTTGAAGCCACTGCTTTGAGCCTAGACTGTCCATATAATCCTCAAATGCAACTTCAGATGTACAAGTATATGTGTATTTACCTCTGGATGTCATGAGATGGTCACAACTCTAGCATTACTGCTCGCATTAGTTACTTCTACTTTGCTTAAATTGTCTATGACCATTACAGAATGCAACTGGAAAACCAATCATCCATCATTGCTTTATTCCCTCTTAGACAAATAACTGTCTGAGCTAATGCTGCTTGCTTTCTGTACAGCAAAGAGCATATTTCATGCATGAGTTCTATACCTACATTACCCACATTGATGCAAAAGACATTTCTATAGTAAACCACATAACACCACTTGTGTACATGGAGTTCTATGACTTTTCTCCTTCATACACTTATACAGTACATTGTTCTGGGGGTCAATCTGACTAAGATTAGATAACTTTAACATGATACACCACTTTTCTGTAGTACATCCACTTTAAGGATGCTGATGCTAGAACTGAGGGTGGCAACAACAAATTTAATTCTGTAAGTGAAACCTCCTACAAATAGTTGGAATGTACCCTCTTCATTCACATCTAGCTTATTGCCATTTGCCACAACAAGGCTCTTGTTCAGTGTTCAAAGTGGTAGTTTTGCCTGCAGTTCTTTATATACCATGAGATCAGCAGCTTTCTGTCTGCTCCTGTGTCAGCCTCTGTATGTATGTTTTGCAGTCCTAGTACTGATCTTCATTCAAGTGTCCAATGAAGTCTAGGTCTGGACTATCTAAGTTTAGAACTGAGTATTGTACAAGTTATTCTAGAGTTCAACCATTCCAAGCAGTTAATTGCCTGAAACACTTTAAGATATGGTAAAATACTTCACTTTGACTTGTGGCATCCCCAGATTAACCAGCAGAGAAGATATTTAAGCTTGATAATAATAGGAGGTTTTCGGATCTCGGACCTCAGAATGTGTAATTGCAGCAGATTGGTTGTGAAGAAAGAGACAAGACATAAGTTGTTACAAATAACAAATGTTTAATGACAATATTATAATTTTTAAAAATAATAAACAATACAAAATAATATATTAAACAATAGGGCAAGTGATCGTGTGTACGTTAAAAAGAAAAAGTGTGGGACTAGCAAGAGTTACAATGCAGACTTTCAGAAAATTTACTTCCCTTGTTAGTGTGCTATCCCTTCCCCTTGTAAACTAAATTGAGACCTGAAGAAAAGCACCAAGGTGAAACAATCTCTTTTAAGGAAACGATAAATAAACACTATAGTACTCTAAAATCCAAGTCCTAATTTGGTTTTCATTAACATTGACTTTACTTTAAAAATGCTTCATATGTATACTACACTAAAGATGCTCTACTTTACGTGAAGCAAACACTATATTTTTTGCATAAAAATGAATGTAAGCAAAACAATTACCAGTAAAAATCCTCATGGATGTTCATGAAAATGAAAGTAGAAGTAAATATACACAATTTGTATACTATCAACAGCTTTACGAACTCCTGTGAAGCAAAAGAAAAGAAAATAATACCTCCTATCATGCAGAAATCTAATAAGAGAGCTTTACTAGCTCTTGCTTGAAGTTAAATGGAAAAGAAAAGTACACAAAAATGTAAGTTAAAAAAAATGAAGAAGACACGAAAATCTAATGGCAGAACTTTAGGAGTTATCTTGAAAATAAAAAAAAGCTAAAAGTCACAAAAATCCTAAAGTACACAAAATCTCATCCTTCAGGCTTCAAGCATGGCCTTAAGTATGCTACTAAATCTCAGCTCTTTTGCGTACAAAAGACCATAATTGGTTCTTGTAAGCTTTACTACCTAGAAGGAAGTGTAGAACAAGGGTGTGATTGACCACGGATATTGATTTGCCATCAAGAACAGCTCAGCTTGCTAATTAAATGATTCCACTATTTACATGAGAAAACCAGATAACTAGGCTTTGACATTCACCAAAAATTGCAATTGCTACTTAGAGAAAGCTAAAGTTAGTAACTTGCTTAAGTGTCCCACTACAAAAAAAAAAAAAAAAAGAATCATGAAACACAACATAATTCTAAAAAAATTACTTTGTAATTAAAGGGGCAGAAAACATATAGTGCATCGCTATACTACAGAATTTAAACATCAGTGGAGGGATATGTTTTGCTTCACTCAGAGAATTGTGATTGTGGCTTGATGCTTTAATTCACGACTTCCTGGCTGTCACCTGACCAAAATGTCCTCAACATCATGTTAGATGTTCTTAGGGACTCAGATGAGCAGTAGGCCCCTGCTTTAGGGTGGTAGAACAATGAGGTGTGCTCGTCAACTCGTCCTTCAGTTTTGTTCGACCCCAAGCTTCTTTGTGGCCCATATCTGTCTTGGAAGTATACTTCCTAGCTCGAGGCGGCTCACCATTGTCCCATGGTCGACTTACTTTGTCATTTGTTACCTGTCATCTCATTTGCTGGTGAGACAGCTCTGGTTGACAGATGCCAACCATCAACTATACCTCCAGCCTTTCTTTGATGATCTTAGGTGGCTTTGTTATAAGCTGGGGTTATATTACTCTGGCTGGTGTAAACCTAGGTGTCCTATATTAACTGCCTTACCCATTATCAGGCTCACCAGTTGTCACACTATCATGATAATCCTCAGCATGGACAGCCTTTCTGGGTGCATCAGATATTGGTGGTTCTTCTTCCTGAGCCAAATGTTGTAGTGACATATAGAAGACATGGACCTCCATAGCATTATCTAAAATCCTATGTCCATGAGAGGGCTTCTCCTAGGCCTACAATCTTCTTCCTCAGTGGCTGACTCTTCTGCTTGGTCATACGTCTTTCTAGTTAAAGAAAATGTAAATTTATTTAACTTATAAATCTTTTTTTAAACTTAATGTACAAAAGTTAAGTAAATGTCATGAAATATTTCAGCAGATATAGCAAGCTCTACAGTAATGATATCCTACTGTCACAGTACCAGTATTTTCTCCTAACCACTGTATGGTATATCCAGATAAATATTCGATACATATTGGATAGATCTGCTTAATAACTGGAGATCAAATCAAGATAATCAATAATGAAGTAATATCAAAACTCTTATCATATGAGTCGTGATGTTTAATAGAATAATGAAGCTAGACAAAAAAAGAACAAACTTTATCACCACAATAAAACACAAACACAGTATGTGTACTTGCTATTATTTAAATGAGGCAATTACTTTTACTGGATATTCTTTATTCAAATATTCAAATTGTTTTTATGTACTAGACTATCTAAATCGAATGTTCCTTAATTCCGTGGGTCGTTATAATGTGACGGTCAATCCCACTATTTGTTGGTAGAAGAGTAGCCCAAGAGTTGGCGGTAGGTGGTGATGACTAGCTGCCTTCCCTCTAGTCTTACACTGCTAAATTAGGACGGCTAGCGCAGATAGCCCTCGTGTAGCTTTGCGCGAAATTCAAAAACAAACAAACTGTTCAAAACCAATACTATCTTGCATCACAACAAACACTGAATTTGATAACGTGGTATATGAACGTATAATGCGTTTCTATGTTATTGTAATATTATAATAGTTATTCTGAATTTATACTTTGATCTATATATGTACAGGTTTCGCATAGCATGTGGTCGAGAAAGCCTTTGTTCTCCGGTGGATAATACTAGCTCTGCCGGAGAGTGGGGATATTGCTCCAATATAACCGTTGTGCAAGGTCGTCGACAGCAGTGTTCATCATTGGTCGTTCAGGTGTTGTCTCACTTGTCTGGTGGTTTAGGCCTCACCTATGTTGTAACGACAATGACCAGTTACTTCAGTAATACGCGTTATGGGTAAATGCGAGGTTTCCTGCTCTGAAAGGGCGAGCATGTTTGGTGTGACGGGGAGTCGAATCCGCGACCCACAGATTGCGAGTCGAGCGCCCTAACCACCTGGCCATGCCGGGCCCGGTTTTGAATAGACAATAAACATTTGTATCATGAGTTTGAGAACTCAAATAAAATTACAAATAATGACACAAGGTGACAATAGGCGAGTGGGCCAATTTTATACCAAGACTGAACAGAGAATGTCATAAAGGACGAAGAGTAATAAAGCTTTATTTTGTAGAAAAACAAAACAAAAATTCGTGGCAGGAAAGAAACTTTCCTCATTTGGTGTGAGTAGAGATATTAGTATCCTTTCGTCCCGTTCGTGGAGATTACATTTAATCAAAGTGTGCTTTTAATAATTGTATTAGGATGTAAGTCCTGACTTAACTTTTCCTCTGGGAATTGGTAAAGGCAGAGATGGCGAAGCAAAAGGTCAAGACTGGCATCCCCGATTTGGACAAACTTAGACGGCCCATAGCCAGAGTCACAGGTTGATGTGGATCAATTAATTCAATGCCTTGGGACCGGCGCCGAATAATTTACTTGTCCTGTACCTAAGCATTTGGTAGAATACACACTATTGTCAGTTATAAAAGGTTTGTTATATAAATTCTTGAAAGGAATTCACTATCTTTCGCCACCTGCTGTCTTATTATTGTACTATGAATTAATTGTTATGGCGGGAGAATGATTTAAAATTTAATCAAGTTTAACGTAACTTACAGTTTATAATCAACTTTTCTGGAATTGTTGAGTTGAAACTACGATTGGTAGAAGGGAGGGAAACACCAAGTAAATTTTTATTTATAACTTCACAAGGAAAACTAAACACGGTATTAGTTCACGGTTTATGATTCACATATGGGTCTGCACTTTCAGTGTTACTACTAGTACTAGTATTTACTTTTAGTAATGTTGTTAAACACTTAATGTTAACGGTTAAGCCTTTGAAAGTAAAGGAACAAAATTAAATTATTAATATTAACTTTGATAATTAATATGTCATTTAAATTTTCAGTTTTTATGTTATCTTTCAGATGATTTACACTAAGAAAATAAACTACTATTAATGTAAGTTATATGAGAATTCAATTTTTATAATACTAATAGTAATAATATTAATATTTAATTTATACGTAACTTAGTAATCTTATTATTAGTATTCTTAGTTACAGTATTTCTAATAGTAATATTAGGTTTAACGTTTCACCTGTAGAATTATTATTAGCTAGTGATTACTGGGACAAAAATTTTGGCTGCATTTAGTTTTTTTGTAATTAATCATTAATCAAATTATAATTAATGATAGATTTACAAAGAGGTTATATATCAGTAGACTAATTTATTATTATTAATAGCAGTATACTGGTATACATAATATAGTGTTAACTGTTATTGTGCGAGTGTGACTCACTGTTCATATTACTAATTCTGTTATTAGTACTATTACTAGTATTAGTATTACTAATAGTAATATAAAGTAATGCCAACTGATGGTATCGTTAATACTATATCATATAGTATATTATACTAATAACAGTACTACTACTTGTTACTGTTACAGATATATTGTTAGGCTTCTACATCATCTTTGCTTCACTGTAATTTATGTTTTGGTGAAGAAAAGAAATCAACAAGTAACTAATATTAATAAGTGTTGACAGTGTTTAACTTAAGCCAATGTGTTATTGTCAAAGAAGATTATGGTTTCTTTGTACATATTTCTCGTTGGGCTTATTTCATTTTGACAGAAGAATGGTTGGAGGGGATCTGATTGAAGTGTTGAGATCTGTAAAGGGAATGGATAAGATTGATGCATCATTTTTTTTTTCATATTTAATGGTAAGAGTGGTAAGACCATAGTACATAGATTTGAAGACTTAGCAGGGAAGAAGCTGCCTGCAAATTAAGCAGTATTATTTTTTGAATGGGATATTTTATTTTAGAATAGATTGTTTTTAGACATGGTAGATTGCAACAGAATTGGGAAAGTTCAAGAGAGGACTTAATGAGTACTTAGAAAGTCAGGGTTGTATATAAGCAGATGGGTGTTTGACGAAATGAATAGGATAGCCACAATGAGCCAAGAAACCCCCTATCCCTCAAATGTCATGTTATATGTTATACAGTATAGTTTATGAATGTAGTCTTTATTATTTTTATGGCCTTATTAATTTCAAATTATTTTATTGAAAGCAAGGGGATAAACATAAACTTTGTATCTTTTTTATTTACATTAAAAGTATTTGTAACAAATTGTTAGAATCAGTTAAAAGTTGGCTGTTTTGAGTCTTGGTAAGTTTGATAGCATTGATATTACTGGATGATGGTTAAATGATTATAATGTGAGTTTAAAAGATTTAAATTGTTTTGTAGTGTGTGTGTGTATACAAAAAGTGAGGAAGGTTGATTTTGTTTGTCAGAAGTGATATAAGTGGCATATCAGAATTTGATAATAATGTCTGCAGAAAATGTATGGGTTCAGTAATTAGATGAGAATGGGGAAAAATATGTATTATAATTTCTTATAAGTTATAGGCTTGTAATCAGGAAATTGACATTTGCAAGAATATGTACATTGTACATGTAGTCTTGTTATTCTGTTAATAAAAGTAGTTTTTTTTTGTTGAGACTTCAATTTCTCTGGATTGTTTAATTTTAATATACGAGACAAAGAGTTTTCTAAGCCCCTCAAGGATGTCTGTACTCCAAACCTGTTTCAATAAACACAATCACTAAATCCAGAAGAACTTGCACTAGGATTCTGAGGATAGATGGATGGTGATATGAGGATAGGATGAGATCTCTTAACATTCTCTTCCTTGAAAGAATAGTAAATAGCAATTCAACTGAAATATTCAAGATTATAGGAATTGAAGCTTGGTACATCATATTGTTTTCATGTTCAATTCTGATGGTAATGTAACAATTGTTATAAATTTAAGACTTGTAAGTATCAGATGCTTCTTCAGTTGAGACAGTTTTATTTCTTCAACAGGGTGGTAGGTCTGTGGAACATAGTGACATAAAAAAAAGATAGATGCTACAACTTAATAGGCTTAAAAAATTAAATGGTGAATATTTGGAGGATCACGGAAAAAAGAAGAATTAGAGAGTATCTGATTGAGGGAATTTGTAGTATTTATGCATCTTTTTTCATATTTAATGGTGAGTATGGTAGGACAATGGGACACAAATGTTAATTTGGCAGGGTAATTCATCTTCAGTTTAGAACATTTTACTTTTATAATAGGAGGGTTGGCTTTTGGAATTGGTTGTTTTAGGATGTGACAGATGCAGTAAATGTAAGGGTGTTTAAGATGAGGCTTGAAAATGTTTAAATTATGAGGGCTTGGTTTCAATTTTTATTTTTTTAAATAGATGGGAGAGTCTCAGTGGATCAACATACTGTTTATTGTCTTTAAATACTACCTTATAGGGATAAGCTATGATCACTTATTTTCTCTTAATGAAAAACAGATAATGGGCAACCTTACTGAAGTTTATGATATTATATGGGGGAATCAAGGCCTCCGATTTCTTTATGCTGCATTTGAAAATGATAGGATAGTAGGACATAAGTATAAGATTTGGAAAAAAGTTAGACTCCTGTTGAGACAGTCTTTTTTCTTAACAGGATTGTTGACTTATGGAATCAGTTGCCATTGGCAGTAGCACAGGCCAGTGTGGTATATTCAGGTTGGATAATTTTGAGACCAATAGGATATGTCTGCTGAGTAACAGAAGATTCAACAAGGTACCTAATACAGAGTAGTTCTAAATTTCTATGAATGGCAGTTCGTGGGAACAAAATAAAGAGATTAGACAGTGCAAAATATAAAAACAGTATTAGATAACATAAAACACAGTGGGTGTATCTACTTGCTTATATGTTGGACTGTCACTTCTACTGGAGAGTATAAATCATGCTGATTAACTGAATGTGCATGAGGTTGGTCAGTTGGACCAATCCCCTTTTGGAGAAGTAATGTTGACTATGATTCTGAATTTACGAAATGTATCTTCAACAAATGTGGAAAGCTTCTATTAAACAGTACAAATCTTCATTCTACTGGCTGCAAGTTGTATTTTCATAATGTCTACAACATCCAAAATGCATACCCAGTTCTTTCAGTTTCCCTGTATGTTGTATCTGGTATTTTTTCTAATATAAACTGTTACAAAATCAGTATTGTAAGGTAATGTGGAATGTTGATAACTCTGATATAAAATGTATAATATCATGTTGAATGGTATTCTTTACAAGGTCATGGCATGCAAACTGACCCCCACCCATGCACATAAAATTAAATCTAACATTGCCCCCCAGTGGCACAGCAGTATTGTCTTTGGACTTACAATGCTAGAAACCGGGTTTCGATACCGGTGGTGGGCAGAGCACAAATAGCCCATTGAGTAGCTTTGTACTTAATTCCAAACAAACAAACAAATCTAACATTCCTTACTTAACAGGTAACCTTGGAGTTACCTAGAATGGCTACCACTAGCCAAATGGCTGGTCATTTTCATTCAAACATAAGGGAGACTATAACCTCAAGATATCACCTGACCTACCCTTTGAGAACACTGCTATCTACATGTTTTCACAATGTACAGCATTTCAGACATACTGCTCATTGGCTGAACCAATGTTATGTCCAAAGAAAGACAAAGGTAGCTCGAGGAAAATCAACTTAATGATTTTATTCACTACATGTTACTGAAAACTTCAGATATCAGAATAAGTAATAAACTTTGAATAGTACTATATTAATAATGAGAAATAATAATAATGAAAATTCATCATGAGGTTTGCACACAAGCAGCTTGTGCGTTACATCTTTCAATACAGAAATGTGAGTTATGCATTTGCTGAGTGAATTACAATTTGTATGGAGCGATTATTAGTTAAACATGGTTCATGGGGAACAAAATGATGTTAAGTAGAAACAGATGTAGACTGTTATGTTGCAAGCTGAATGTTATGGACAATCTATCCTTGCCTATCTATCATACAGCTGCCTCTTTAACCCTGGGATGAACTTTAACTTTTTGAATGTAGTGGCTCTGCTAAAGGTGAGTACATAGCTGGGTCCTAAGTCTAGTGATAATTAAACACCTCTCAAAAGGGCTTTTGAGCCTGCTGTTGATACATCTGTCTGAACTCCTTTGCAGTTAGCCTTGGTGGTCCGTGGCTGAGCTGTTTGTAGTTTACTCGACCATTGTTGGTGTGGTAGTCTTTGTTGATATCTCCATAGCTGCTGTGATCATTCTGTCTGGCAAGAGCTGGGGTTACATGGGTGGATCCATATTCAAAAGAGGCTACCAGGCCCAGGATAAGAAAGAGCCAGCCCAACAACTGATTCAACAATGCATCATTGTAAGATGCTTTGGCCAGCACATATTTTTATCTGATTCAACAATGTATCATTGTAAGATGCTTTGGCCAGCACATATTTTTATCTGATTCAACAATGTATCATTGTAAGATGCTTTGGCCAGCACATATTTTT